ATTAAATCTTTGGATTTAATTAAATCCGAACCACTTACAACGGGCATAAGTAACTAAAAACTCAAGAACTCTGCGGTCTTGTTTTATCCTATAATTTAATTGAAAAACTCTCTTTTTTTAACCTTTATAGGCGGTGTTCATTTTCATAATGTTAAACATGGAACCAACCCGTTTTAGGAACTACACTTTCCCCGTATGGGCTGATTTATTAGGCTGGGGCGTTGGATTCAGTACATTACTTCCATTCATTATCTTTGTTGTGTATCATTTGTGCAGAGGAGAGGTAAATATTAAAACGAATCAACTTGGCTCATATTTCAATATATATTATAAGCTTTATCTCTGGCATTGAAGAAGCTAAGAAAGTGATTCTTTGAATGTTTTCTTTGAAAATTGTGTGTTTTTTCATGAATACTATTATTATTGATTACATACAAACAAACAATTAGTACCGATTTGGTGAAAAAGAAGAAGAAGATTCGACCAGCAAACAGACATCGGACAGTGCGATGTTATTTCAAACAAAATTCCAATACATTTTACTTAGATCTGAGTGAATAAGATTAATTTCAATTCGATGCACGTCGTCTGTATTAACATATTAGACATGGAAGAGTAAAGGCGAAAACATTGCGCGAGGGCGGTGTTAAATGAAGTTTGAAATTCGATGCCATTCTATGGTATTGTTGGTTGAATGCGTTGCCTGCAAATGTGAACCGTAAATGGGATATATCACGTCAACAAACATGACCCTACGGCTGTTTCTATTACCATTACACTGAGCATGTGATATATGTATTTGAATTAATTAGATCAACACATTTGGAGTTACGCTCTAACGATTTTCATTGAATGCTTCCATATTCATAGAAAGCACAGGGCACCATTGTCGTTTTACGTGTGTGATATGTGTTCTCTGCTTTCGATGTTAGACAATAAAAGCGGTATAATTCATATTGGAGATTATAATCGCAGGTTTTGTTCATAATGTGGGCCGACCAGAGGGCTCCCGACCAACTCTAAAAGATTAGAAGAGCAACACTTGAGCTATGATGGTTACGAAAAACTCCCTTTCGCTCTCTTTGTAAGAACAAAACAAATGCTCCGACAGGGATTAGAGAGTTAAAGGTGGAGAGAGCGAGAGAGAGAGAAAGAGAGAGAGAGAGAGAATTTGGAGTTGAGACCATGACAGTCGTTTGCATGCATAAATGAATTCCGATGAATGCAATAACACAAGCAAGCCCTCAGCAGTTATTTAGTTTGAGATATGATGGAAAATGTTGTTATAAATCGTATTCATTTTATTGCGATTGGAGTAAAGTTTGCAATCTTGCCGCCAGAACTGAAAACTATTCACATTGAAATTATATGCATCATTGCATGTCCCAGAGCTTAATATACAATTATGATATATGTAATAGTAACATATCTCGGATTAAGACAAAGTATGGAACACTTTTAATGGGACCACCCGATTTCCCATGCTGAATTTGTAATCGTATCATCACAGCAATAATTTTGCGTTTGAACATTCAAATAATAAGCAAAATGTGTTTGATTGGTTGCTTGCACAACTATTAATAGTGATAATTGAATTTAGAAAATATAAAATATATTGTATCATATGCTGATTTGAAAGATTTTCGATTGATTCAATTTTTCATTTGCAGAGTCTGCGTTCATTGTTCCAAACATCACCACACTGGAAACCACAAGAAAGTGCCGGACCAATTGATGATTTACCCGCATCACCCCAACCAAAGAAATCCTCAAGCTGGAAATGTTTTGCAACACCAGTTGCGATAGTTAAGCGTCGTTTTGGTTGTCAATCCAAAGCTTAATACAAATAAAAAATATAAATTTTTTTTTAGTAATTTAATTTGAGTGTGAATTTCATTTATTAATCTAACTGTGCGTACGTCGAATGTGCACTGCCTCATGAGGGTAGGAATGCAATTCGATGTAATTCGCTAAATGGATAAGCGACGAATTGGATCAGAAAACAAATGGGCAACACGGTAGTTAATTGTTATAACATTATCATTGAATGTATAACACATCGTATCGAGTGATTTTTCACTCTGGAAAATTGCTAATTTTACCGAATGGAAAATGCGAAAAAGAACGGAAAATAGCGTCATCGTTTATTGTACTCATAATATAAAGTAAAATGGATGCGAGGTCACCAAACGTTCGTCAAATAACATTCTTTTTCCGATTGCGTTGTTTTTGCCCTCTGGCCAATGCTAGTGATTTTTGTTTTTCCGTTTTGCTTCACACATTCGATTTTTACTTTTAATTTTCCTTGATTTAATGGAAAAGGAAGCATCCATACAATTATTGCCGATAAACAATCGTCTATTTTCATCTTTTGCTAACAGTTGTTTATTCTTTCCGTACGAGGAGGATCGCACGGTGGTGTGGATGTGTATATTTGTGTTGTATGTGTTTGGGGCTACACAGTACACAGTGTTGGAAAAATATCAACAGCAGCCAAAAGCATCCAATTCCAGGGCAATGTGCCGAGCTGCGAGCGAACCGAACTCAATTCGCTGAGATATGAGATTTATTCGATTTCCTATTATTTATCTTCGTGATTTAGCAATAACCTCATAAAATACATTTAAAGGTTGACTCCCAACTCGTATATCGTTTCGTTTTCCATGGTTTGTGTGTACAGTATGTTCGACGGATTTTTTTTTTTTCATTATGTTCTTAGCGCGACTTGACTCGAATCGCACAACCTGACAACCTCAGAGATCAACTGGCACAAAGTAAATTGTATGCATTAAAGCGACCTAACTCATGATTTTCCATGAATTTTCTGAACCAGACCACAAAGTTTAGCTGATTTAGCCTGAAGATAAGAATACGCTTATTCTTTAACACATTTGCCCTTTCTCGCAAGAAAAAAAAATTACAATCATGTTAAAATGTTTTTTTTTTTCTTCTAAACCTTCATAAAGAAAAAATTAAGACATTTCTTTTTCTTTCCAATTAATTTTTCTTCTTTCATCAAACATCAAGAGCTGGAAGGCTGAAGGTATTTGAATTCTTGAAAACGAGAGGAAGAGAGAAATGATATGAAATTTCATGCCAACAACTTTGATCAATGGAACATATTCGCTAAAGCACAAAAATATATTTCAGATGAATTCTGATGGCGTCAACCCGATGTATTGCATGTACATTGTACGGCTTTCTTGCACATGTGCCAAGTCGACGGTTAAGAGTTTTCCGTAACAATTTTTCCTAAGTATAAACGACATTAAATGGAATTTCATCCAAGAACACATATTATATTGTAGTTCCGATCGAATGACTAAACCAGAGCGAAAATCAAACATCTTTTGTAAAAAAGTACAAAAGCGATTAAGAAGAACAAGAAGAGAAGAAAAAAACAACTCATGAACTCTTTTAGATTTACTGAAAGTGCTTCTTTGGCAAGGCAATCCACAGAAGCAAAGAAAGAAAGAACTACGTTACAACACATAAAAAGGGGGATTGTGCATCGTTGAAGACGGATTGTAGCAGTTACTGTTTGGTATATACGTGATAATTTTCCACAATTTTGTACTATATTGGTTATTATTACTGTATGCAACTTGGAAGTTGCACAAACTAACTGTGAAAGCCATCGTTGAGCGACGAATTTACATTAATACGTATTTGCAGCAAAGTGACTTGAGCCATTGATGCATTGATGCTGTGATATTTTCTAGTTAGTAAAAAGTAGTAGCGAAGAAACCAGCGAGAGAGAGAGAGAGAGAGAGAGAGAGAGAGAGGGAGAAAGAGTATGTGTGTGTGTGTGTGTGGTCGTTGCGAAAAACGAAGTACTGGAACAGAGCGTAAGGCAAACAATGCATTCGCCCAACTATTTGCAAGTGAGAAATGCTTCGAAGGAGTGAACATACACAAGATGAACGACGTCGTCGTCATTGATTCGCGTGTATAGGCTAAATCTCTCATGCATAAACGTTGGATGGGGTTCCGTGGATGTAAACTAAGAATATCATAAGTTTTGTGTTCAATGCCTGAGAGTCGGATTATTACCAGCCGCTTTCAAATCAATAAGTAAACGATCCCCGTATTCATAAACATGCATACATTGCCTGGACATGACATGGACAAATATCAGAAAAGCGCACAAACACAGCTCTTGCTTGGCAGAACGAGAACATGATTCGATTAGATGGCGTCATCCGGGCACGAGTTTCGTTGTACTTGCGTTTAATTTGATGCATTGTTCATTTTTTTTTTCTAGTTTCATTTCATTTTTTCCCTTCGCCTGCTTCTGATATTGTTATTATTATTCTCCGAGGTAGTAGGGAAAAATGTTGAAATCATGTGCACATGTGTGTACACAGATGAAACACACGACAATGAGTTGCTGCATCGCATGCATTGTTCCTAAGCAAACTGCTTCGAAAGTGCATGTGATCATCAATAAGCAACAGCATCAATAACATACATCGAATTGAGGGATAATTTCTGTTCAACGGAACACCCGGCAAAATGGTACCGTCGTTCACAGAAAGTGGAACAATGTATTGAATCACATTTACGTGGGAAGCAGTTCGTTGTAACGCAAAAGAAACCTAATTGGGCAGAGAGAACGAACAATACAAATAATAATTGATAAGCTTGCATTTAATTTAATTATTTCAAATTGGTATGGAGTAAAAAAAGAGTGCGCGTTTGGCCATTGAACGAAACAAGCGAGTGATAATTGAATCATTGAACCATTAGAGAGTGGTATATATTGTTCAATTGATTGCAAGGCAATTGTTTAGTTCGTTCGTCTGATTTTTTTTCTATCGCTCTGTTCGTGTCACTGCAAAATTGAAATGACACACATTGTGTGCACAGATTCGTAGAATGAAATGAACCATACTGGATAGCGCTGTGAAATGAATAGTAAAACAACAGGTGAAAAATGTGACTGACTAATTGCGCTAATAATGATCATGACGGAAGCGCATTAGATTGAAATGTAAAATGCTGTTGACTCACAATTCGATCCAGTTGTCACGATGGAAACGAGAGAAAGAATGAAAGAAAAACAAAACCGTAAACGAAACGAACAGAGGGATCTATTGTTATCCAGTCAAATGAGAATGAAGATGTACGCTTTGCTTTGCAATCATTTCATTTTATTGATAATAAACATTGCGTTATTTTATGCTTGTCTGCAAACTGAACGAGCCACATCGTCAACGAATGCTCCAATAAGCGACACACACACATATATGTATACACACACACACAATAGAAGAAGACATTATGTGATAATAACAAAAGACGGATGACACACCGATGACACAGTCACTTGTATCTGTTGACATAGAAAAGGAACATATATATAAAACACACAGAAAGCTGTTCGGGAACAGACAAAGGGAGTGCACGCCAGTCAAAGGAACATCTAACCGAAAAACTTTTGAACAGATAAAAAAATGAGCAGCAGCGGCGGCGGCAGCAAGACGACCATGAAATTGAATTCAATAACGACATGGAAAACAAAACCCCGAAAACAACGGCAAACATCAACAAAAGCAACGTTATGACACACAGATGAAAAGTGATGAAACGCAACACACACACACACACACACATACATACAATCGGCACCCATCCCCCGTTGCGTTCTTAAAACGCGTACCATCCGCAACATATTTCACCCATGTTTCAAGTATAATGTAAATTTTTATGACCCGTTAAAGACACTACACATACTCTGTGCCCGGGATTGAATGCCGAACGACAAATCTAATTCGGCGTTGCTTGTTTTCAATTCTCGTTTCGTTGTTCATTTCTTGCGAGCAAACTAACGAACGAACGAACTGCTCGCACAATAGAAACATGCTTCGCCGATATTTAGTTCCGTTATATTTCAATGTTTCGGCTTTCATCATATTCTTCCCATCTATCTCTTATACGCTTGCCATTTTCTCTTCAATATCTTTCTGCCACTTTCTCGATGCTATGCGGTGTTCGCTTTATGCTTGGTGCCTTTTTTTGTCATTTTTTGACTATGATTGCTGCTGCTCGAACCGAAAACCGTACGTATGTGATTCGATGAATGCTTTCAAGCTATTATTATTATCATGGGTTTTGTAACTGTTCTGTTCGATGCCGATGCCGTTACCGCTGTTGCTTTCGATATGGTTGTTGTTATTGTTGTTGTTGCTGTTACTGTTACTGTTGTTGGTGGGATGTATCAGTTTGTTATTTTTTTTTTCAGTTGTGAAAACTTTTTTCTCTTTTGTTGCTCTTTTTTATCGGTTTTGTTTTGCTTTCACGCGTGCTTGCTTTCGATCAAGCCATTAGGTCTTACGAAAAACAATTTTGTTACATTACATTTTACATGCAAAGTCTAAAAGGTTTTCTCTGTTGTGTGTACACGGTGTGACACTTCTCTCTCTCTCTCTCTCTCTCTCTCTCTCTCTCTTTATCTGTCGTCCTCTGTCAACATACAATTGGTATGCCACGACGAAATATGTTATGGCTGAATCGTGATATTTGTGTATCTCATATGATATGAAATTAAAAACGATTCACAATACAAAATCGAGCATGAAACCAATTTCGTCGCAACTATTTAAAACGGTACGCACATCATTCGGGTGGAAAATGGAGAACTAAAAACGGGCAATAAAATGAGGTAGAATTGTTTTTAATTAAAAACAAACATTCATTTAAACAACGTGATCATGATTAGGCTTTAGATTTTGGTTCAGTTGCTGACGATTTTTCTGCAAGTGAAACATGTCTGACATTATAATATTTTGTCAAAAACACATTTTACCTATTTCAGTCACCTACGTTTTATATCGCAACCGTTTGCATTCAATTTCGGCCTAAAATGGGAAGCGCAAA